GCCTAAGGCTGATTCCTGCCAGGCAGAGATCAGACAAACTTCCTTTCTCTAACCTTTTTACCAGTTCTGACACCAAGTGTCCCTCCCATGGCACTCTCTACTTCTCTGCTGGGTTCATTAATTCCTTGCAATGGCCACACAGAACTTACAGACTATACTCACAGCTATAGAATTTATCAGGGAAGTAACAGGTTACAATTCAGGATCAGGAGCGACTCATGATATAGTTTATTGGACTAGACAGCTTCTCGGCCATGCCTGCAGGCAGGCCTCTCTCTTGGCCCTCGGCCCTTGGCCTGTTACAGAGCTCTCTTAGTTCCGCCAGCAAATGCCCAGAGGCACCCCACTCGGCCAGTAAGCCTCAGCCTGAAGGTGCTCAGCTCTCTCGCTCCATGAGTTGGCATCCCCACTGTAGCTACCTTGCTCCATGGGCTAGGAAGCCCACAGCGCTGTCTCATGCTGCCACCGTTTCTTTACTGCTGTACTCTGCCGTGCTTGCCACTATTTTGCACTGTCTCTGGTGTTACAGCTGTATCTGTCTTCTGGGTCTAGGAGGTTCTCAGCACATGGACCCCAGGTCCAAAGGATGTGCTCCACTCCTGGCTTTTCTTGGTGGTAGTGAGGTCCCCTCTTGCTGCCTCTGGGATTGGTTCCCTTTAAGCCTAGTGGGATGGCAAAACTGACCAATCCCTTTGTTAGGGTTCCATATACCTTATTTGCATGGTCCCACCCCCGCAAGTGTTCCATGCTCCTTATTTGCATTATTAACAGGCTGTCCAATCCCCTTGGTGGGCCACAAACACCTTATCTGCACCCAGTCATTTTGTGGGAGTCACAAACCATGGCTAGAAGGGCCATATTAAGTAATTCACTACACTGCAGGGCCACACCAGGTGCTCCTTAGGTTCATTAGTGTTTATTGTTTTGTTTTTCTTTAAATTAACTGAGGTTAAGTATAAAATTTTCTTATAAATCTCAAATTTGTTTTTGCAAAGCATGTATCCATTTTTTCATTTAATACCTAGATATTGAGTTTTAATATATTTCATTTCCATATTTCCCACTTGGTTCTTTCTTCTTCCACGTATTCTTTTTTTTCATTTATATGATGCCCTCCCTTTTTCTCACAGAGGATTTCAAATGTCCTACTTCTAAAGCCACACTCTGATGCTCATGAACTCTATTTTCTCAGGTGTAAGTTCTTCTGTTTTCTGAATGTATTATCTCTTCCATGTGTTGGCTTTCCTCAAGTGTTGGGTGGTTCTTGGTTGGGTTATGGTGGGGACAACCTGTGCCTCTCTGCACCGTCCACTGGGAGGGATGGTGGGATATGCTGCCACTGTTTAGTGTGCAGTGACGGTGGGTAAGAGTGGGCTGTGCTGCTGGAGGCAGGTGTCACTGAACTCCAGATCACTGCCATGTCCTCCTGCCATGAGCTCCCCTCCACTCTTACTGCCCTGTCCACTAGGGTGGGAGTCATGGAGGGCAGGTTGTGGTGCCCACCAGTACCCTGTAGGTTTGCACTGATGCCCGTTCTGCCCCAGGCATCCATTCTTGCCAGGTGTGGGCCGAGGCCTCCCTCTGTGGTCTCCCATCTTTCTAGCATCCCACGAGCCTCTGGCCACCTGGAATACCCCTTCTTGGTTTGGAGTGTAGCTTTGTGCAGCTTTGTTTAAAACTTCAGTTTTTACCATTTCTATGGATGTGATGCCATGTGCAGCCACCTGTCTTGAAAACAGAACTCCTGCCCTTTCCCCTAAAGCTTTTCTACAAATAACCCCTCTCATATCCAGCTTTGCCCAGCCTTTTAGTTGTTTGTTCATTCATTCAACAAAATTTACCAAGCATCTCTTAAGTGTTGGTGCTGAACAACATAATGGTGAAGAGGACAGACTCTCACAGACAGCCCATAGCCTGGGTTGGGAGATAAGAAAACAAAAACACACAAACCAGTTGCCACTAAGTCCATTCCAACTCATGGCAACCCGATGTGTCAGAGTAGAACTGTGCTCCACAGGGCTTTCGATGGCTGGTTTTTTGGAAGTAGATCACTAGGCCTTTCTTGTGAGGTGCCTCTGGGTGGATTTGAACTGCCAACCTTTTGGTTAGCAGCCAAGTGCATTAACTGTTTACACCACCAAGGGACTCCTGGGCCAGGAGATAGCTGTGACCTAATTAAATGCTTGATTATCATTGAGGGCATGACAGTGGGAAAGTGCAGGGGCCTTGAGCACTGGGAGCTGAGCAAGGCTCCCTGGGGAAGAGGCGTTTAGGGTAGGGGCAGGTTGTCTAAGCGTTGGTGGGGGCAGGAACAGCTTGCTTACACAGGGCCTCCAAGTCAGGAGAGCTTGCTGTGCTCAGAGCGCTGGGCCTTGGGAGGGGAGGGTGAGTGGGTGGGGTGTGGGGAATGGGGCTGAGCACCAGGCAGGGGTCTGAGCTGAGCTTGTTCTAAGTCAAGGCAGCCATTGAGGGGCTTTCAACCAGGGCTGCCATAATCCAGATTTTGTTTTAAAAGATCATGAAGGCTTTAGGGTAGAGAATGGAATTTTGGTGAGCAGGAGTGAAGGGCGGAGAGGGGAGAGCAGAGGGTGTGCTGGGGCAAGAGGTGACAGTGGCTTTGGCTGGCATGGTGGCAATGGAGATGGAGAGAAATGGGTGTGTTCAAGATACATGGGTAGCAGTACCGACTGGGCAAGCTGGAGTCGGATACGGGTATGGATCGAGCTCTAGCATACATGTGAGAACGGCTCCCAGGTGACTGACCTGAGCCAATTTAGGCGAGTGGCGGTGCCATTTACAGAGACATGGAAGGGCAATTTGCCATGTGCTTTAGAAATAAACAAACTCTCATCTCAAAACAGTGATGGATGGGCTCCTCCATGGTCTACCCTGACGATGTGGTTGAGGCCACGTCTGGCCCAGTTATTGTTAGGTGTCATTGCGTGGGCTCTCCCTCATAGCGACCTTACGTATATCAGAATGAAACATTGCCCGGTCCAAGACTGATTGTTTGTTCTTCTGGCAGTCTATGGTATATTCAATATTCTTCACCAGCACCACAATTCAAATGTGTCAATTCTTCTTCCGGTTTCCTTTCAGGACTTCATTTCACTTAGATCAACAGTCATTGCCCATGGAAGCAGCAGTCAAGAAATCAGACAACATACTGCATTGGGCAAATCTGCTGCAAAAGACTTCTGTAAAATCTTAAAAAGCAAAGATGTCTGGCCCAGAGAGGTGATCAGTTACTAACGTCCGTAAGGAAGAGAGAGCAGTGGCTGCTTCTAGCCCTGTGTCCTGGTGTGTGTGTGTGTGCACATGTATGTGTGTGCATGTGTGCATGTGACTGTGTGTGCATGCACATGCATGTGTACATGTATACGTGTGTGTGTGCACATGGGCACGTGTGCATGTGTGCGTGTGTGTGCATGTGTGCATGTGTGCATGTGTGTGCAGTAGAGTTGGCTGTGCCTGTCACTCGCCTCTCTGGAAAGAGGAGTGCAGTCCACTGGCCTCGAGGGGTGATGTTTTTAGCACAGACAGTCAGGGGTGCTACCATGGGCTGGTCCAGAGAGAAGAGGGGAACAGGGTCTTGGTATGACTGTGTGTGTGTGGTGAAAATATATATAACAAAACCTTCACCAATTCAACGATTTCCACATGTACAATTCAGTGACATTGGTTATATTCTTCAGTTTGTGCACCCATTCTTGCTATCCTTTTCCAAATCGTTGCACCACTGTTAACATAAACTCAATGCCCCCTAAGCAAAAACTCCTCCTTTCTCCCTCCCTCCCACCCTTGGTAACCACTGATCATCTCTGGTTTCTCTAGCTTTGCTTATTTCATATAAGTGAGATCATACTTGTCCTTTCAGTATGACTTTTTAGGAGCTCGTTCCCTTTCCTGTCAGTTCCAGAACTAGGCAGATGCTTCCTGGCGGGATAGGGGAGGCAGGGTGGAGAAGGGTGGGATGAGGAAGAAGAACACTTGAGGACTGTGAGGACAGGGGTCAGAACAGGGCATCTGAACCAGGGGTGTGTGAGTAGGGGGACAGGGCAGAGGGAGCCGCCATTGACTCAGAGGAGGGATGGATGGATGGGAACAGGGGCGAGTTGCCGCTTCCCCTCCAATGACGTAGACTCAGAACTGTGGCAGGGCAGGGGTGCTGGGCCCCAGGGTGGGAAGTCACTGTTCGTGGGTCCTGCCTTCCTAGATGTCTGGCTTGGGCACCTGCTCCCCACCTGGGGGGTGGCCTGCCTTTGCGGGTTGGGCTGGATGTCATGGTGAAAAGTAAACACACAGGTTTTCCATTCTCCATAAACTTGCCTGTGTCAGAGGTTTTGGGCCCTCTGTGCCTGGGGCACTGATGTTTCCCTTAATGTGGGCTCTGGGCTTCCTTCTGCAGGTTCCGGGGTCTCTGTGCATTCCCCCTGGGTTCCTTGTGGCTGCACTAGGCCCATGGCTGGGCCTCCCCCGGCCTCCTCCCTCCTGTTTTGGATACATCCTCATGCTGCCTTAGGGGTTCGCTAGAGGGAGGAGGGTGTGGGGCCAGAGTTTAGGGTGTGGGAAAGCACCATCTGGGATGCCTGCAGGGGTGCCCTGAGGGGAACGCCCCCACCAAGCTTGAGGCAGCAGCTGGCAGGCGTGGGTGCACAATGACAAGGAGCAAGAAGCCCTGTGAAAGCCATGTGTCTCTTCACATGGGCCCAGGCTGGTCCTCCAGACCCGGACACCTGAGAGTCCTGGGCTTGGATCCTGGCTGGGCCTGCTGTCCTGTCAGGGGACCCCCACCATCTCAGAGCCACAGGACAGGGCAGGCAGGAGCTGAATAGGGAAGCTTCACTGGTGTCCCCGGGGCCTTTGTGTCAAGCACATGGCCTTACCTGTGGCTCCCCCAGTGGGTCACCTGTCGCTTCCCTGGGTGGTCTGTTTGGGAATCCCCCAGACTCTGGCCCCTGCCCTGCCCCTCCTCACCTAGCCCCTCTTTCTTCCCACAGCCGTCTGCAGCTCTGGAATCTGCTTCAACGGCGGCCGCTGCCAGCCAGGCTCCACCCAGCCATGCCTCTGTCCCCAAGGCTTCCAGGGTCCCCGTTGTCAGTACGGTGAGTAGGGCACTGTCGAGACACCCAGCTGGGGATGTGCCAAGGCCCTGGCCGTGGCAAGGCTGGGAGTGGTGGGCCTGGGGGATGCAACGGGGCTGGGGGATGCAGAGGGGCCAGGGGATGCAATGGGGCCAGGGGACACAGTGGGGCTTGGGGACACAGTGGGGCTGGGGGACACAGTGGGACTAGGGGATGCAGAGGGGCCAAAGGATGCAATGGGGCTGGGAGATGCCATGAGGCTAGGGGACTCAGTGGGGTGGGGGATGCAGCCGGGCTGGGCGACACAGAGGGGCTGACTGCCCGGGCACAGTCCTAGGCATGCAGGGAGTGTCCACACCTCTCCCACCCCCTTCCCTCACACCCTCTCTGCTGTTGGGAGAAGGGCTGCCCTAAGGGTCTCACTTCCTCCGTGGATGCCTGGTCCCCACACAGTCCTTTAGATGGACACCAGGCCCAGAGCGAGGCAGGGCCTCATGGGATCCCCAAGCAGCTGGGGGAACAGCATCAGGGGTCCCTGCGCAGCACTGCCCACCTTGCTGGAGGCTGTCATTGTCCTCGGAATTGAGGATGGGGCGTCCCAGGGTCCTGCCTTCAGGGTTTGAGCCCCATACCAAGTGCGAGAACCAGGCTGTGATGCCCGAGTTGTCCTACGGGAAAGGGTCCCTGAGTGGAGGATGGGCGACAGAATCCTTGTAGAGGAAAGTGTGCTGACGCAGGACAAAGAGTAATCTGGCACGTCCTTTGAGAGGCGGGGAGGCATGCGCTCCTCTCCCCTTGGGTTCCTGCTCTTTCCAAGTGTCTTCATTGAACGTGGAGTTTAAAGGCGCCTTTGGCGCCGGAACACAGGCCAGCCGTCCGGGTGAAATGGGATACTTGCAGCCGTTTCCGCTACTTTGAAGTGGCTTCTGTGGGAGCGGTTAGGGACTTCTTCCCAGGTGGACACCTCTGGTGGGTGGGGAATGTATGCCGTCGCTTCCTGTCTGCCCAGCAGGCGGCGGGGAAGTCTGGGGGTCCGGGGGTGGTTTGCATGTTTGTAAGGAGACCTCCGCCCACTTGCTGTTCGGTGATGGCCTAACAGAGGGGTCCCGGGGGAGCTGGTGGGTCTTCTGCATGGTTCTGAGATGGGGCCAGCTACCCAGGATGCTGACTGGGCGACTGTTTACCGAGAAGACTTTGTTGTCGGTGTGCTCTGCTGGGCTTGTCCCACGTAGTTGGACGGCAAGGAGGGTGGCTGCTCGGGGAGGTACTGGGGGGCCCTCAGCCCCGACACCACTCTGTGACACCCCAGCTCCAAGGCTGGGCCAGGCCTCCTTGTGATTTAGACTAGAGCTAGTCATGGCGGGCGGGGGAGTCCCCACGGGATGAGGGGCTCGGTGGTCACGCTTCACCTCTTCTCCGGAACTTTAATGAGGCCTGTGGTATTAGCCCCTCAGGGAGGCCTCTGCCCCATCTGTCTGCTCTTTCTGAAACGGGCACTGCTGGACTTTAGCTTCATTGGAAAAACCAGGTTTGGCCATGTGGAGTGGGGGGTCCCAGCAGCGACCTTTGGGGGGCTTCAAGGCAGAGTCATGGCTGCATGGTTGGCAAAACAGACCCTGTTGTGGTCGCTGCTCCTGAGGAGGGGCTGGGAGGGGCCTCTGGAGTGGTGTCTGTCCTGGGGAATCATCGAGGGGCACTTGACCTTCCCGTGGAGCCCCAGCTGGCCGTCTTCCAATCTACCCCCCTTTCTACTCACCGGGAGCTGCCTCCTCACCTCCTGGCCTGAGACTTTGTGAAGGCCACCTACCACCCTTTGTGCTGAGCAACCTCCCCCTCCCCTTCCCTCCTCTCCTCTCCCCTCCCCTCTGGAGACCCTGACACTTGACCTCTAGCAGAGGACTCCATATCCGGTGAGGAGGGAGTGTAGGGCGTGGTAGTGGGATGGGGGTGTGGGGGAATGTGTAGGGGGTAGGAAGATGGGGCAGGGGGTGGAGCTTGACATCTTGCTGGGGGCTGTCCTGCTCAGTCCCAGGGTTCAGGGGTGTGTGTGCTGAGTGGGCTTAGTGGTCCATCTGTGAGGGCCCGGGGTGGGATAGGGGCTCACACTGCCCTGTGCTGCGCCTCCCTGGTCTGTGTTCCCTGGAGTCAGCAGTGCTCAGGCCTGGCCTTCAGCCCCTGCTCTCCTGACCCCTCAAAGGCTTCGGAAGAGCCCTGCTCCCTGCTCTGCCTGCACTCGCTCACTGAGTCCCCTTTTAACCCGCTGTGTGGAGGAGGACACCAGGGTCAGAGGTCAGACAGCGGCCCGGTCACATGGTGCCTAGCGGCACATGTGACCACCTCTTGGGCGGTGCCAAGCCTCAGTCAGGAGGAAGGAAGGGGCACGGTCCGACACCCCACTCCTGACCTTCTTCACAGGGGGTTGGGCCTGTGACCAGCCCTCTGCCTTCTGGGTGGGTGGGCTTCCTGGGACAGTGGCCTGTCCTGTTGGGGACAGATGTGGCCTGCAAAGACAGGTGGAGACCGCTGAGACACTCTCTCTGAGGAAGGGCTGGGTGTGCTGTGCAGGTTGAGTGGCCTTTGGGGACAACTGTGTCCTTCAAGCTCCACTCCTAAACCTCCACCACTCACCTTCCACTCCCTCCTCAAGGCTGGGCTTGGGTGCCGCAGACCTGAGTCTGAGCATGGTTGGGAGTATTTAACCAACCCCCCAATATAATTGATTCCAGTTTTGAAAATAAAAGCCACATTTTTCTGGCTCCCCCAAATTCTTTCATTTGAACAAAAGAGTAGGGGAGGGAAAAGGAACTGCTTGTTGATTTGTGGAGAGCAGTGAGGGTGGGGAAGGAGCCCCTGGGAAGCCCCCTGCTGCCCCCTCCTGCCCAGATCACCAGCCAGGCCTGGTCTGTTGAGTCGGCTCTTGGGGGCCTGGCTCCATGTCTTTGTTCCCCCGCCTGCCCTGAAAGCTCTCTATGGAGCGGTAGAGGCCTGCTGAGCACAAAGCGGCCTGTGTGGGTGGCAGGCAGGGAGGTGGAAGGCAGGGCCTGGGGTGCCAGCCTGCAGCAGAGCCCCCATCCAGCCCCCATCCAGCCCACCCCAGGCCCTGCTGTGGTCAGACAGGGCAGAGGCTCTGTTTGTCCAGGGTGGACTTCCGCATCCCCCCTCGGTGGGACTAAGACAGCTCAATTCCCCTGGTGTTCAATGGGAATAAAATGTTGGAATGTTCTGTGAGGTCGGGGAAAGCTAAGAGCAGTGGAGGAAGGACCAGGCAGTGAGGCTACTGTCAGAATGAGAGCAGTGGGGGCAGTGTGAGGTCATAAGGGATGGTGACGGTGGGACTGGCTTTGTCCCTTATTCTTGGGGTGACTGCCACCCAGAAACACACACTGGCATGCCTAAGCTTGTGAGGGGTTTGCTCCCATGCGGCCTTGCCCTTGGGATGTCTGGGCTCGGGGCAGACCCCCAGGACTGTGGCCCCTTTGCCCTGTGGGTCAGCACCATCAGTCAGCGGAGGGTGGTGGTGGTGGGCCCTGGGGATCCTTCTGTCCCTCGCAGGGCCCCAGAGTCCTACAGAAGTATCAGTTCTATCAGACTGACCAAGAATGGTGTTTACCCATGAAATGTGGCTTTGTCCTATTTTGTGCCAGCCAAGGAAGCTTGGGTGGAAGGTCCCCTTTGTCCCCCAATATTTGCTGATGACATTTGCTTCTCACGCCAGCAGGTGTTGAATCTTTAAGGAAGAAATAGGAGAGAAAAACTTATACTTAAGAACATTGGTGTTGTTGTTAGGTGCCATTAAGTTGAACCCGCATACAACAGAATAAAATGTTGCCCCATCCTGCACCATCCTCACAAACATTGCTATGTTTGAGCTCATTGTTGCAGCCATTGCATCAATCCATCTCATTGAGGGTCTTCCTCTTTTTCTCTGACCTTCTATTTTATCGAGCATGATGTCCTTCTCCAGGGATTGGTCCCTCCTGATAACATATCCAAAGTAAGTGAGACAAAGTCTTGCCCTCCTCACTTCTAAGGAGCATTCTGGTTGTACTTCTTCCAAGACAGATTTGCTCATTCTTCTGACAGTCCATGGCATGTTCAATATTCTTTGCCAACACCATCATTCAAATGCATCACTTCTTCTTCAGTTTTCCTTATTCATTGCCCAGCTTTCACATGCATATAAGGCGATTGAAAGCACCATGGCTTGGGTCAGGTGCACCTTAGTCCTCAAAGTGACATCTTTGCTTTTTTAATACTTTAAAGAGGTCTTTTGCAGCAGACTTGCCCAGTGCAATATGTCGTTTGATAAATCCTTGACTGCTGCTTCCGCTTCCATGGGTGTTGATTGTGGATCCAAGGGGTTCCTGGTGGAGGTGGGGCAGACATGGGGGGCCTGTGGGCTGAGGAAGTTCTGGGAGGTGCAGGTGGACCTTCCAGGTGGGAGAAGGACAGCAGTGGAGCTGAGTAGGGACTGGAGGAGAAGGTCCAGCTGGGTTCCTGAGGACACTGGCACCATCTCTGAGCTGGGACTGAGCCAGGAGGGCTGCATGGGGCTGGCCTGCAGGACATCGGGGTCCTGCCGAGCCTCCACACTCAGGCCTGTCCCTCTAAAGGGGCACGATCCCCCACCCGAGCAGGAAGCGAGGGGGTGGGGCCCTTGGGAATGAGCTGGTGGGTGCCCTGCGGCTCTGCTGGGAAGCAGACCTCCCATGGATGGGCAGGCCTGGCTTCCATGGAGGGACATGGGCGGGCCTCAGCAGCTTTAGTCCCCAGCCTTGGCTCAAGGGCGACTGTTTCTAAACTGGGATAATTGGTGGATGGAGAGAAGCCTTCCCCCCAGCTGCTTTTCAATGCTGCACACTGTCCTGCAGTAGGAGACTGACCCCTTGCCCCAGGCCCAGATGCCCATGGCCCAGTGGGTCTGGTGCTGTTGCTGGTGGTCTCAGACTCTGGCCCCCAGCCCTGCCCTCCCACTGGAGAGGTTCCTGGAAGGACTAGGGGGCAAAGCACTGGAATGTTCC